TATATATATCTGCATGGTACTCTTCTGTTATCGGAACCGGATTATGTAAATATGAACACAAATACACATACATATACTCCTATAAAGCACATGTACGATAAAATGCTGTTTCAATAATATTATATATTTGACAACATTTCAGATATACCATGTTACGTATAACTGATTCTATAGTTGATTTTGAAAAAAAAAAAAAAAAAAAAAAAAAACTGTAAACAAATAATATTCATCTTTTAATATTTATGTATAAAATATTGGTTAAAGAATTACAAAGGCGTAATGTTTTTCACATTTTCTCACTCATAGTGAGAAATTAAATTTTACTAATGATTTAGACGTTTATTTCTGAAAAGAAAAAGTAATTTTGACAAGATATATTATTACATAATCGAAAAATAAAATTTTTTTCAAAGTTCATGAAGTGATGATATACTTATCAAAAATAGATCGATTTTCAATTGAAATGTTCAGCCCCCACCCTCCCAACCGAAGTCAGTAACGAACTTTAATGTAGAATTATTTGGTGTTTATAAAATTCGACAACAGTATCTAAACTAAGGCATTAAAAATTAAATTTCATCGCAGAAAATAAACCATTGACAACCAATAACAAAACAATTATGATCCATGAAAATTATTTTTACAAACAAGGACATACCGAATATAAAAATTGCTTTCTTTTACGTTCGCAATGTAGATTTAAAAAGACAAGAAACTGACGCTTTTAAATTTAGATTTAAACAATTTTGGGTAAAATATTTTAATATAAACGAAAAATAAATTTTCTGTGCAGAAATTGTTTTATGAATTTTGTACGAATCCTTGATTTTTAATACAGAATTTTAAATAAATATATTTAACTCACCTGATAACTTATATCATCTTGCTATAACCATATATACATTAAAATGTCAGACACTTTGATAACAATATATTTTTTGCTCTTCTCTTCCCCTAAGAGAAATACGGAAGGATTTTGCCAAAGAACTTCTCTCCGTGCTTTCCGAAACAGCTCTGCGAGGGTTGCAGTAGCGAAATAAATGAAATGGAAAGGCGATCATTCGCCAAACTAGTCGCCAATATGCCTAATGAATTTAACTCTCAGAGGCTGAACAGAACACAAAGCGTTTGTTTCATTTGAGGAACTTTGTTCTCAATAAGTCTTGAAGGATTCACTTTGCAACTCAAGCGTTCCTGTTTACGATGGTCGAAATGATAAATTAGGTTTAGAGTAACAGATTAGCGAAGGAATCTGATTTACTTTCGGAAACAAATAACAGTTTTATTTCTAGATATGGGAAATACTTTTAAGAAGTAATGCGAATAATATTAATAACAGAAAAAGAATAATTACGGGTTTGGTTCCACCCCATTGCAATAAATGAGTATCGCAATAAAATAAATCACGTAAAATTTTGGTTGGTTTTACGTAGAAAATTTTTCGCTGTGAAACACTTTAAGGCTTCATAACAAATAAATTATTATGCAATACAAATATTTATACAATATAAAATTATTATTAAATACAATATAAAATTATTTATTAGTATAAAATTATGTAATACAATGTAAAATTATTATGTAATACGAAATTGAAACTTTGTTACGTTGAACTAAGACTGACTTAATTTTTTAGATATTTTTATAAACGCTTAGTCTGCCCACTTTTGATGATGATATACATCTAGAATTTACTTGAAGAATTACTCAATGAAAACTGATGATTAACTCAAGGTTAATAGACAAACAAGGTTAGGCTCTTCCCAGAACTAACGTCACTTACTTAACAGAAATGGGAGAAACGAAGACAGTGAGAGTAGTTGCTTTTGAGGAGACTAGGAGTTAGTGATGAAACACAAGAGCAAATCTTGTAGTTTAGGAGGGGTGCAACCATGGAGGTAAAAAAGGAAAGGAGGGGCCAACCGTCACTAGAAGTGAAGCACTGCTTTGAAGCTTGGGTCACCAGATGGGGTGTTCTTTGTTTACATTCAGAAGCTCGCTTGACATTGTTCTGATATGATTTCGACACACGACAGTTCCATACAAATCGAAAAAGGGACACTTTCGCATGAAAGAAACTTTCATAGTGTGATGGATAATAGCAATTTGTATAGTTTAGTGACATTTAAGCAAAAATCACATCTTGGTTACTTTTCGATAACTAACAACAGCGATTTTGATTATGAATTTGTTTTATAAAAAAATAAGCCGTTGAACTACAAAAATATAGATTTTAAGAAAAATGTTATGCTTAAAAGAATGAAAAATACCTTACGGTACATTTAAAATTGTATACGTCTTTCGATACCCTTGATAGAGTATTCGCTACTTTTATTTTATTTTCCAAACACCAAAATGTTTTAAATTAAACAAATTTTTTTCACATCCATATGTTATTGTAACATGTACCTTTCAAAATTTTTTAGAGGAGAGGCTTTACTGCTGCTCATTTTAAACTCATAGTTTTAATTTTATTATCTGAAAAATAATCACTTTGGCTTACCGTTTTACTTATTTGGGTTAATTAAAAATAAAATTACCATCAAATGCTGCAATCCTAGTCAAAGTTAATAAAAAATACACACAGATATGCCAATAAGTTAGCTTTCCCTTGATTTGGAACCACACATTTGTGTAAAATATGTACAGTTTTAAACAAATGTGTGGAACAGAAGAGGGATACATTTGCGAATTTGGCGGAAGTACCATGTGCGGTCAAGATGATGTGACCATGTGAACGTTCTACATCATCAAGACAGCTTATTAAGAATTTGAAAATAGGGTAATCGACGGAGGTGAAAACATTTGTATATCCTGCCAAAGGAGGTCCGATCATGAATGGTCCTCTTATTGTGTGTGTGTGTGATTATGGCAAAGCCTCGAGGGCTATCTGCTTAAGGGGAGGGATGCCTTCGTGGAGGACTTTCTAAGGGAAACTGGCTCGTATACACGTTACACATGGGGAAAACCACGAAAACGCCCATGCAGCCAGCCCGTTCGCGGGATTCGAACCTCGGACCGAACTACCAGTGTTCAGCAACTTTACCGCTCGGCCGCTGGTGGGCCGGTCCTCTTATTGATTCCAGATTGTTAAATGTTTCCCACGCAATCTATTTTTCTCGGTCTTTTTTTAAATGAACATTTGCTTGAAACTGATCCAGTGCATAACCACATTTTACATTTAATAAGAGCAATCATTAAACAATATTTGCAAATAAGATACGCTTATTTTTGCAAAAATGTTGTAAATAACTCAGTATCTATGGCGTCAGGTATACAAAACTTATCTTATTCATGGTCAGTGATTAATAGAGTTGTTAAAGGAAAAAAAAATAAAGTTTTCTCTCTCTTTTTTAAAATTTTATTTAGCAACATGTTTAGCTGATTACTAAATGTAATAAAAAATTATGAATGAAAATCTTGTTATTCAATACATATACTTGAGTAGTGGTCTCTATTTGAAAGTTCAAGACATGAAAAAGTGTTATAATTGGTATATCAACATACTTTGTATACCTTATGGATTACCTCACAGTATGAAAATTCAGGTAAGTGAATTTAAATCAATTAGTTGTTTTTTAACTTTTAAAAAAATGAAGCTATTATGCAGAGTAAGGCAATCAAGATTGCAATCTGATGACAATACGGTTAATTATGTGAATTGGATAGTTATTATATATTATATAATCAAAGAATTATTAAACTGTGTAAAATTGTTGAAAGAGATACTGAGTGCTCTGCCAAAATTTATTTTCTAGAAGATTTGAAAAGTTTGAAACTTGATGGCTAAATGTAATATAAAATTATTGTATATTAAAATATTTGTAATTAGGCACATAGGTCAGATTAATTTTTATTAAATAGAAGTAACGCATGCAGGGCTATCTGCCTAAAGAGAGAGATGCCATCGTGCATCTGCCAAAATTTTTGGAATTTGAAGAAAAACTGACTTTGAGTGGGTATTAAAAATAATGCATATAATTTCATTCAAATTATATTCATATATATTTTTATGTAAAACTTGGGTGAATATATACATATATGTAATTCGCTAATCAAAATTTACTCGAACGCGTCAATCCCTTGACCAGGTACGACCATTTTGTCCAGTAGATCGCGGCTCAAGCAGGACGGGGAAGTTAGGCTACTCATTACTCTACCCATGGGCACTAAAACGGAATCTCAAAGGGTAAAGACGTCGTGCTGGTCTCGTGCCTGCCACGATCCGACATCGATCTGCCTGATAAGATCTCCCTGTCTGACGCTATCTGTCTACGATCTCTGACTTACTGACTTCCTTTCACAATGAATGCTCAGTAGCCACCGCGTCTTGCCGGATTATGCCTATGATTGTTGCAACTCTTTTATGCCATTGCTTATCTTAGACTGCGTTTTGCGGCGCGCTTACTATTTTTAATTTTGATTTGGTTGTTAATCTATCTAGTTACCCCCAAGCTCACTTAGTTAGGAGTGAGTCAGGGGCCTGATAGATTTCCACCTGCTCATCCGTCTGCCAGAACGCCGTCGTGTGGGTCCGGTTCCGGGGCGCAGGATTTATGGCTTCCAAGCGTCACGATGGATGCGAATCAGACTATTGAGAAGCTAATTGAATTCTATAATATACAAATCAGAGAACTTGAAAAATCCAAACAATTAAATGGATCTTTTACTGCTATTGAAGAGAAATTTCATTCATTTCTCATTAGCTCTCTGGGTATGATTAAGATTCTCAATGAGGAGAATCTTAAAAAATGCCAAGAGCAAATTAATGCACACCATAATCTTGATTCATGTGTTAATAACAATTCCCTTTCAGATAATGATAGAGGCCGCAGCCCTATCAAACTGCATGATAATTCGCCCAACAATACCGACGACGAAATCACCCTCGATAAGGATATATCTTCGGACGAAGATATCACTTGTAAACGCAGAGGTGATCAAACGATTAGAATCCGGAATTCGCACTTAGCTGCAAAAAAACTTAACTTAAATTAAGCATGAAGCATACAAATTCTTCCCAACAAAAAGAAAATAAAAACCAGGAAACAAGTAATGCCACTAAAGAACAAACTAACGGCAACGCCACACAATCTTGTATTGAAACCATCAGTGAGCAAGCGGACAATCCGCTCATGGATACTACCAATCAGGAAGAATCTACTATTAATCTTGAAAATCCATCGACTGAATCTAATAATAAAAATCAGGAAAACAAATCTAGTAAACTACCTCCCATCATACTTAAAGAGAATAAATACTCTTACAGTAAAATTAGGAATATTTTTAACCAGAAAAACTTCAAATTTATCGGCAATAGTATTCCTGATGGAATTAAAATTACCACCACAGACCCTGACACCTATAGGGCAATGGTCAAAATACTTAAAGATCTGGGGGTGGAACATCACTCCTACATTCTCCCCCAAGATAGAAAACTTAAAATAGTTATCAAAGGACTCCTCAGGAGTACTGAAACTGAAGAAATTAAAGAAGAACTTGAGGAACTTAATTTCCAACCCGAGGAAATTAAACAAATGACTAAAAGAAGAAATGGTGAAGTATCTAAACTTCCCTTATTTTTAGTAACATTACCCAAAAATGAAGCCTCTAAGGAAAATATACCAAACAAAATACCTATGTGGATTAAGAATTAATGTAGAAGAGTACAAAGGTAGGCAAGGCCCTCTACAATGTTTTAAATGTCAGGGCTTTAACCACACTCAAATCGGATGCAATTACCAACCTCGATGCGTCAGATGTGCAGGTTCACATGAATCTCGAGACTGCCCTGACAAGAACAATAAGGACAAACCGCTGCTCTGTGCCAATTGCGGTCAAAATCATACTTCCAGTTTTAAAGGGTGTATTAAATTCCCTAAACCAAAACAAGAAAAACAAAAAACATTTCAAAGCCGCATAATTGAAGGTAAATCATATGCACAAACCCTGGCATCTGGAACTTTCAATGAAACCATCAGTGAAGCGAAGAAAATTTTCTCTGATCTCGCTGAACTAGTTTCCATCATTAAAAGCGCAGGATTCCTGCAAATCACCCAACAAATTAAACAGATTAATACTACCAATGAGGAGAAAATACTAATGCCAATTTAAATAATGGGTCTTAACACTCTTATTAAAGCGCCCATACAAATCATGATTTGGAATGCCAACAATATCCTACATAAAATTCCGGAGCTTCAAAATTTTCTTCTCACAAAAGACATCGATATTGCCTTAATTACAGAGACTCATGCAAATCCCAGTAAACGGATGAATATACCAAATTACCGGTGTTACCGGTGCGACAGGCTTAGTCACAGAGGTGGAGGGACTGCAATTTTTGTCAAAAGCTGCCTGCAATCCTGCCTTATTAAAGAAGATAGATCAAACAACCATGAATTACTCACTGTTTCTGTTTTACTGCCCTCTTACGGCGTTACCTACTTTAGCTCTCTTTATAACCCACCGCATAACCCACTTGATGAACAAATTCTGAAGAACATTCTCTGTACTGATGATATTAATTTTCTGGCCGGAGACCTCAATGCGAAAAGTACTGACTGGGCCTGCAGACAAACTAATAGTAATGGTACTGCACTCAAAAACTTCATTACAAATCATCCTGTATATTTATATGCTCCAGACAATTACACTTACCTTCCTGAGAATGTCAGAGAAGGAGATATTCTAGACATTCTCCTCACTAATTCTTCCATACCTATTTTTATTGAATCTACTATAGATCTCACCTCTGACCACATTCCAGTTATTGCCACCCTTGGCACCAAAAAAATTGCTAATGACAAATTTATCAATAAAACTGACTGGAAACATTTTTATGAATTTCTTGAAAATAATCCACCAAAAATAGGCAGCCTCAAAACTACGTATGACATTGAAGTCGCTATAGATACACTCACCAATAGTATTAAATATGCCTACAATTTTGCTACGCAGAAGATCCCTGCCAACAAATTCCCGGAGATTCTCCCCCACAGCATCAGAACTCTCATCAAAGAAAGAAACAAGCTTAGGAAACGTTGGAACCTGACTTGGGACCCTCATATTAAATGCGAACTTAATAAAATTAATCGATTAATTAAGAAGAATATTAATAATTACAAGAATGAACAATGGCAAAATAAAATTCCAAAGATTCAACGAGCCCGGCAATGAATTCTGGAGCTTTGCAAAGCGACTCAGAAATAATCCCACTTGCAGCAAACCCATCAAAAAAGATGATAAGATTGCCAATCACAAATAAAGACAAAGCTACCCTGATGGCGGAACATTTTGAGAAACAATTTATCCCGAATGAGACTCCTTCTGATCCTGCATTCACGTACGATGTCAGGTATTTTGTACAAGATTACATTAATAGCGCCACCGCAAGACTTAATACTGAATTTACTAATCCTAAAGAAGTCATTGATATTATTAAGCATCTTAAAAATAGAAAAGCTCCTGGTTACGATGAAATAAATAACATCACCATTAAAAACCTGCCTTTTAGCACCATCTCTAAGCTCATCAGTATTATAAAACGCCTCCCTGGACAAGTCCTACTTTCCTATGAAATGGAAGATTGCAAAAATCATCCTTCATTCCAAAGCCAGGCAAGGACTCCACTACTCCTGAACGGCTACCGGCCCATCAGCCTACTGCCCGGACTTGGCAAGATCTTTAGAGAGGATCATTCTTAATAGAATGCAGCAATACATCAGCAGGCTACCTCCAGAACAGTTTGGTTTTAGGAAAACTCTATCTACCACCAAGCAGCTTGTTCGTAAATCGAATTTATTGGCAGTGCTTTGCACAATCACCAGAAAGTCGCACTACTCATGCTCGACGTGGCCAAAGCTTTTGACCGCGTCTGGCATGAGGGGCTCATTTTCAAGCTGATCAAACTCAACTTCTCTCCGGAAATGACTAAAGTTAATCTACTCTTTTATTAAAAATAGAAAATTTTATGTTTCCTTCGGCCAAGAAAATTCAGATTTTAAATACATCCGTGCCTCTGTGGCCCAAGGCTCTATTTTAGGTCCCATTCTTTACTTATTTTATGTTTCCGACTTTCCTAATCCAGACAACGAGATCAATAGATTCCTTGGTTGCTATGCGGATGATACTGCTCTTGCAGTAAAATCCCTTAGCCCCAACGCAGCAATACAAAAACTTACAAAATATCATGCCTTCCATTGAACATTGGTGCAAGCAATGGAGAATTGTCATTAACGCTGAAAAATCTCAACTTCTCATTATAAGCCGCAATAGAAAGACGCACCAAATCATTACCAACGACTTAAAGCTCTTCGACAATAATATTCCTGTAGTAAATAAAGCCAAGTACCTTGGAATTACCATCAATAATCGACTCACCTGGACCGATCATATCAATATCATTAAAGGAAAAGCCTATGGCAATATGAAAAATCTCATGCCTCTATTAGGAAAGTTCTCTGATCTCAATCTTAAAAGTAAAAAGCATATCTACACGACTCACCTTCTGTTATGCTTCACCTGCCTGGGCTACTGTCAAAAATAAGGATATAAAGAAAATTCAAATTGTTCAAAACAAGTTTCTTAGACTCATCACAGACGCACACTTCTATGTTTCGAATGCAACTCTTCATAATGACTTAAAAATTGACTATATTAAAGACTACATCTTGAAGACTAATGATAAATTTTTCAACAAAGCACTAAACTGTCCCTTCAAGTATTCAACTTTCAAGTATTCAACTTCAAGTATTCAACTATACAGCATTACCTGAGGACAGAGATCTGAGACCCTGGGCGGCCCACCTCTGTGATCAAAATTTTCCAACTTAATTTTACTTGTACATATCTGTATATATTATATTTTTTTGCATCTGTATCCTTATATACTACATCCAGATTTATGCATTTATTCCAGCTTTTTATTCGTTTATTATTACTTGTCAAGTATTTCCTTTTCATCGTGTTGTACATATGTATTATATTTAATTTTCTTTTTATTTTTAGGAACTCTATTTTATTATGTATGCTGTATTCTTATATATCCCAGAATTATTATTTTATGCATGTATTTATGTTTATATATTATTTTATTTGATTTATTCATATGCTTTATTTATGTATATTTCACTGTAATCTTTGCCCATTTATTAGGAATGGATAACGCTTTTTCACCACCGCACTCTCCAAATTAGTCTGATTCGCACTCTGTGACGCAGGGTCACCCCCTTCTCTCCTGACCTTTAGTTCCACCACCAACCTACAAGAACGACTGTTTTTAGGTGCCACCACTTATCAGGAGCCGGTAAAGCGGCATCTGCTAGCTGCACACCGGCCATAGCAACATGGATGGATGGATGGATGGATGGATGGGTGCAACTAGAGGAAGGCAAGGCATCTGCTCCTCGGGCGCACCATCCAAGGGACTACAAACTGATGTTATGGAATCTGAGAATTAAATTTTTTCCATTCTTAGCAAACTGAAGGCGATGCAAAATTTTCAGTTGTGCCCGGGAGCTGAAAATCCTACCTTCGACTTTGTAGTATAGTTAACTTGAATTTTCTTTTCTAACTAGATAATTGTCTCACTACCATACAGGTCATCTGCGAAAGTATTCGGTGAATATCTGCAACAAAGACCATTTTCGAAAGCTCTCAATCAAAATTTGCCACAAAAATTAATATATTAGGTTAAGTTAATTGATTAACACAAAGCAAATCAAAGGGTAGCTGCCTAAAAGGAGAGATGCCTTCGAAAAACCGACTCGTATTCGCTTTACATGTGGAGAAAATATATGCAGCCAGAACATTCGATGGGATAGGAACCCGAGTTGAGGTACCAGTGTCTAGCGGTTTTATTGATTCGACTACTAGTATTTCCGAAAGCGGAAAGAGAGCAGTAGATGAGGAAATGATAGAGATTATGAGGTATTTCTTCCGCCTTCTTACCATGCCTTCGTGGTGTAGTGATCAGCACACTCGGCGCGTATTCGAGACTGACTGTCCGTGGTTCGAGTCCCTGCGAGGACATTGCTCATTTTTCATCTCTCCTGCTTTAAAAAAATACCTTATGTCTCTACAAGATGAGATGATGGGGAGATAAGGTAGCCATACTTACCTCATTTAATATCATGTGGCTTTTTTCTGTGCGAGTGAGTGAGTTTTTGTTATGTTCTTTCTTTCTTTTTATTTTATTTTCTTTTTTCTTTTTTTTTTATATATAGGTTCTCTGGAGTAGCACTTTTAATTTCGTTATAAAACTTTTTGTTTCCTTTTTCGTTGTCTAACTGTCTGAAACAGGATACTCAGTTTTAGGCCTGTAGTGTCGGTGCATCCGATATATCTTTCTCTCTAAGATAAACAGTTTTCAGCTTTTGTGAGAGACGAACGATTTTTTTTTCACTAAACAATTTAGATACAGCTGCATGATTATTAACAATTCTAATTTTAATTCAGTATTCGGGAAAAATATTGAAATATTGCGAGAACCGGCAGTCTTCTGTATTTAATAATACAGCTCATAAATATTTTTAAAACATAATTGAATTAGAAATGCATTAATTATTATTATTAATTAAAGAGATATTTTGATTTACTACTTTAAAAATGAAGAGTTTCAGTAGTGCAATAGAAATGTTCAGTGACTGTTTTATAA